TCGGAGTTTTTTCTTAAACTGTTGTGCAATATTGTAACTTAAAAATGGGTCAAGTTTGTGTCAAGTTTGTACATTCCAGTACTAACATTGAGAAGATTTGGACACTGATTAGGGAAGACTCAATCAAATTCCGTTCCACGAAACCACTGCAATTGGTAATGCTTTTCGCTCCATCCCACTTAATTGTGTGATCACACAAACTCGTGTGTAGATACAATGCACTAGACGTTTGGGCAGTTCTAATACTATAAGCATGTTGGGACAACCGCAATTGTAAGGACTTTCCTGTTTGTCCAAGAATTACAATCATTGCAGGGAATCGAATACACACAACCTGCTAAACCAGGAGAGTTTTTTTGTATTAAATTGGACTTGATCGTACTATTAGTGAACACGAAATTGATATTAAGTTTCTTAAAAACCGGGGAGAGCTTTTCAAGTCCCACCGCATAAGGTACCACCAATGAGTTTCTAATTTCTGGTTTCGCTTTGGGAACATGATTATAAAACGGACGCTTAGCTTGTCCGAATGAACAATCCAAAAACATCTTAGGGTATTGTAAACTCTTCCCAATTTCTTATACTTTAGCAATCTCTTCATCAAAAGACTCAGGACTGCTTACCTTCAGAGCTCGAAGAAACATTCCTGAAAATACTGCCTGTATAACTTTACTATGATGATTCGAATAATAATGAACAAACGACCCCACGTTGGTAGGTTTCCTATACATATTAACTTTGAACCTTCTATTGACTCTGTGAATCATAATGTCTAAAAACGGAAGAGTACCATTCTCCTCATTCTCACATGTGAATTTTATTGAAGGTTCCAAAGAATTAAGGTCATTAAGAAAAACTGTTTGGTGTTGGTCACACGCCATAAGCACAAAATATCATCAACATACCTAAACCAAACTACATTAGCCGGGATAATCCTGGATAAGATTTTTGTTTCAAAGAACTCCATATACAAATTGCTCAAAACTGGGGGAAAGAGAATTGCCCATCACCATTCCAAATGTTTATTTGAAAAAAAAAATCAAAATATTTTTCAAAAAACATTTGGAATAGCGATGGACAATCCCCTTTCCCGAGTTTTCCCCAGAACTTCACTTATGAAGTTCTTCATAAAATTTCGAACATTTTCAGACTCGTAGTTTTTATATAAGTTTTGGATGTGATCAATGAAGTTATTTTATTGCCCCTTTTTCTCACTATTAACCAACGTCGTCAGCTTAGTTACACATGTATGTTGGCTGTTTTTTGCTGAATGGTCAGATTTTAAATCATCCACAATATTAGTCATGAATTGTGTTTGGAAAGTTAAAGCCGAGCACTCCTCCATAAATGTGTAACAGATTTTTACTGGTAATTTGAACAGCATCAAAGGCATGAGAAGTGTCTTTTGTGAACTAATCTCCTAATATTTTATGTTTGGCATTTAAATTCCCAATTAGGACGATAGGATTAATATGGAAAAAATTTGGATGATTTGTATAATGGAGGAGGTTAGCAGGTGCACAGGCACTTAAAATATTGTGTATATTTACCAACGTGTACCGGGATACCATAATATTGACACCTAACACCATTTTAAAAAGAGAGGATCATTCAACACAAACCTTTTAACATATAAAACAAGTGCTTTTTGATCCGTGATTATAACACGTGTAGCTAGGAAAATTCTGTGGGGGTTTACCAGTAGGAGTTAGGCTTTCCTTCAGACAGACACAAGGTAATGTCCTCAGTCGTTACCTGTGATGGAGGTCGGCATAACGGACACTTATAGAGACACTGTTCCAACTGCGTATCTTTATGTCACTCTGCCTTTTTATTATTGCAAGTGGCCATGTTCTTTTGTAGTAGCTTGGTTTATATTATTTACTCTAGTAAACTATAATGCTGCCTTCTTTACAGCTAATATCGTGTACAGCTTCTTAACGGTGTCTGACAGCAAAGGGTATCCAACATTGCTGCAATACCCACTTAAGTAACTGTGGCTGATACACGTAGGGTCTCCTGGTCTCTTTGATGGTGGCATCAAAGTCTACTTTCACAATTTCCCATCAGAGAATGCCTTTTTTCTTTATCATAATCACTTCCCTTCATCACACTCCGATTGATAAAGATTACGCCACCCAAGAGGTGGCACGGGCATGAATAGCCCGTAAATCTCCCTGCGATCTCTTCTTCACTCCACTCTGAGTTCTCTTCATCACACTCTGCGTTCTCCTCTTCATCACATGCTCCTCTCCTCCCTTCATCACACTCTGCGTTCTTCCCTTTATAATTCTCACTACCACTACTCCTATCATTCATCGATCATCTTCATTACAGCTCGAAAGAACCTACATCATCCGGGGCCAGCCCTGAGCGGGCGCCATTTATATTCAACAACAAATCCAATCAGCACCGACGCCTACTTCGGTCTTTTCTGACGTCACTTTTAGCCAAATAACTGCCACTTCTTCTTCATCTTCTTGAGAGTAGGTGCAGTTTACATGAAGGTTTACTGCCACTTCAATCCCAACACTCGTAACATCGACCCGGATACACGCTTATCTATCACAATTCCATTTGAAATTTGATTCAACAATACAGTCTTCAGCCTCCACTCTGAAAACCGAACTGGAACTATTTTCACATTGCAAATGAGATGGTATGAAAACCGTGAAATTATTCTTCACAATAATTTTTGAGGCTTAAAGCCTATCCGGAATGTTATTAAGGCCGCCACAGTAGTTTTCTGACCAACTGGCCGGTATTTTGACCATAGTTCAGGACTGAAGTAAATTTTCATTGTATACACCGAGAAGCGGGATCCACTTCTCGGTGTAAATAATAATAATAATAATTAGTTTCGTTGGGGACAGGAAGCCTGTGTATTTTTACTTCAGGCTTGAATCGAGGTTCCCGTAAGGTCGAACTTCTGACCTTCCTATGCAACCTCACAACAGTTGCCTAACTCCCGGGTTCCTGACGATTAGGTGAACAGATGCATTACGTGGAAGTGAACGTGCCCAACCACTTCTGTCCGGCCGGGAATCGAACCCGGGATCACCAATTGAGTCAAGAACGAAGCCAGTTATTCGTTATGATTATTAACCATAGTTATGGTTCTTTACACTAAATTATTATGAATATTTTCAAAACTCCTTTTAACTCCATGACAGAGCAATTCTGAATCATTATTTTGTTCCTTTCCACTGCAAACAATCGCATCTTAACTATTTCCAATTACCAAGCTAGTCTAGCTAATCACTGTCATCTATCCCCAAGTTACACTTGAGCTGATCAAGTATAAACTCCAAACAACGGTGGCGAGCTCCAGTATGTACAACAACCAGGGAGACGTAATTTTTAAATGTAATCCTGTTTGAGTTGTACTGTAGTAACCAAAGTGTGGGTTGTACTGCAGTAACTAAAGTGTGAGGTGTACTATAGTAACCAGTGTGGGGTGTACTGCAGTAACTAAAGTGTGAGGTGTACTGTAGTAACCAGTGTGGGGTGTACTGCAGTAACTAAAGTGTGAGGTGTACTGTAGTAACCAGTGTGGGGTGTACTGCAGTAACTAAAGTGTGAGGTGTACTATAGTAACCAGTGTGGGGTGTACTGCAGTAACTAAAGTGTGAGGTGTACTATAGTAACTAAAGTGTCAGATGTACTGAAGTAACTAAAATATGAGTTCTGCTATAGAACCACAAGCGTTAGCTGAAGACCATCGTATTTGCACTCTTCTCCATCTTTCCTATCTCATTTATACCATTTAAAGTAAATCAACAAATTATCCTTTCTACAATATGTCATTCAGTACAAATTGGGCTGGACATATTAGAAAGCCTGTCGTTAATGACCACAGTCCAGCCATAGCTTGCCCGAGACATCAGTCGATCCCCCATTAGCTGTTTGTGTCCGGCGTCACAGATAACAGGGTGAAGACATAACATTGAGGAGCATTTATATAATACCAAATATCTGTCGAACTGAACGTGGAGCGGGACATTGTATCGGAGGGGAGTACAAGTCATATATATGTGCCCAGGCGCCAGGGTATATCAGGTAAAAAGTGGATTGGCGTACCTGTGAGCTCCCACCACGCACGTGAACAACCCTCAAGGGTGTGAGTTTATTGGGCAGCGTCACTCACCCTGTGAGTAAACATACTGCCGCAGCTGCATGTATAACAACCCACTAAAGGGAGAAAATCCACAGGGTTCTCCATTCTATCACTTGGTCCCAGACGCGGCTGGGTTGTTCATCCTGTCACCTGTATACCCAGACACAGCTGGGACTGACTTAACTGTCTCAAGTGAACAAATCGTCAAACATAGAGTTTAACATTTACCAACCCTCAAGCTTGCCAAGGGTGCAAAGTGTTTCATTTAATTGTGTTATTTTCACACCAATGTGGACTTACACTTGTCTAACGGGATATTTTGTTGAGATCTTCCGTGTTCTTCAATCCCACACATGTGTTTGTTAATTCTAATTATTGTTATTATTATTATTATCATTATAAATATTGTTGTAACTTGTCACCTCGCCTGAACCCTCGACAGGATCACGTGGCAACAGTGGGCATATGTATACCATGTATAATTCGCATGTATTCTTACACTGTTAGAGCACGTGGTTGTGAAAGCTCCCTAAATTGTAATATATATATATACACTTAAAATGATCAAAATCATAGGATTATGAATCCTTTGTTGACAAAATACCCACAAGAAACATGTGACGGCAACTCCCGCGCGCTAGGCTTGCTTAGTGTCGCAGCCTCTGACATTTGCTTTATATAAGCCATAAGCGCCTCTTGTCTTCTAATCTTTAACGCATTCCCTTTATAAATACATTATTTAATTCCCAAACATATAATAAACAATCATCCATAAAAGTATATCTGATTGCGAAACATTTATACTTTCTAGAAGTATGTTTATTGACAGCGGACCCTGACTGGCTGTCTACTTGGGCGTGGCATCAGGTGCAGGCAAGTGATTGGCTGAGTCTCAGGTATGCTCAGGGCTGGACGAGGACCCACGGGCCAGTTTCACCAGCGTCTCTACAAGGTAGGCTGTGGTAAGTTAACTAAGCTAAATCTTTAATCAGAACTATTGGGTGACGACAGTGACAGTGTCATATAAACCTCTTAAGTGCTATCAAAGAACTTCTTTGTGATGCGTGCAGTTTGCGTGAAGGTTTTCTCCTCGCGATGAACAATAACCAAAAAATACATGTATAACGCTGCCTTTGATTCTATTCAGTAAGCTGACGCTTTAGTTTGACGTTCACAAGTATGAACCATCACTGTCTGTGTACACAGTTTACTACCATCACTGTCTGTGTACACAGTTTACTACCATCACTGTCTGTGTACACACAGTTTACTACCATCACTATCTGTGTACACAGTTTACTACCATCACTGTCTGTGTACACAGTTTACTACCATCACTCTCTGTGTACACACAGTTTACTACCATCACTGTCTGTGTACACAGTTTACTACCATCACTGTCTGTGTACACAGTTTACTACCATCACTGTCTGTGTACATACAGTTTACTACCATCACTGTCTGTGTACACACAGTTTACTACCATCACTGTCTGTGTACACAGTTTACTACCATCACTGTCTGTGTACACAGTTTACTACCATCACTCTCTGTGTACACACAGTTTACTACCATCACTGTCTGTGTACACAGTTTACTACCATCACTGTCTGTGTACACAGTTTACTACCATCACTGTCTGTGTACACACAGTTTACTACCATCACTGTCTGTGTACACAGTTTACTACTATCACTGTCTGTGTACATACAGTTTACTACCATCACTGTCTGTGTACACAGTTTACTACCATCACTGTCTGTGTACACACAGTTTACTACCATCACTGTCTGTGTACACAATTTACTACCATCACTGTCTGTGTACACACAGTTTACTACCATCACTGTCTGTGTACACACAGTTTACTACCATCACTGTCTGTGTACACAGTTTACTACCATCACTGTCTGTGTACACAGTTTACTACCATCACTGTCTGTGTACACAGTTTACTACCATCACTGTCTGTGTACACAGTTTACTACCATCACTGTCTGTGTACACAGTTTACTACCATCACTGTCTGTGTACACAGTTTACTACCATCACTGTCTGTGTACACACAGTTTACTACCATCACTGTCTGTGTACACAGTTTACTACCATCACTGTCTGTGTACACACAGTTTACTACCATCACTGTCTGTGTACACAGTTTACTACCATCACTGTCTGTGTACACACAGTTTACTACCATCACTGTCTGTGTACATACAGTTTACTACCATCACTGTCTGTGTACATACAGTTTACTACCATCACTGTCTGTGTACATACAGTTTACTACCATCACTGTCTGTGTACACACAGTTTACTACCATCACTGTCTGTGTACACACAGTTTACTACCATCACTGTCTGTGTACACACAGTTTACTACCATCACTGTCTGTGTACATACAGTTTACTACCATCACTGTCTGTGTACACACAGTTTACTACCATCACTGTCTGTGTACACACAGTTTACTACCATCACTGTCTGTGTACACAGTTTACTACCATCACTGTCTGTGTACACACAGTTTACTACCATCACTGTCTGTGTACACAGTTTACTACCATCACTGTCTGTGTACATACAGTTTACTACCATCACTGTCTGTGTACATACAGTTTACTACCATCACTGTCTGTGTACACAGTTTACTACCATCACTGTCTGTGTACACACAGTTTACTACCATCACTGTCTTGTGTGTACACAGTTTACTACCATCACTGTCTGTGTACACAGTTTACTACTATCACTGTCTGTGTACACACAGTTTACTACTATCACTGTCTGTGTACACAGTTTACTATCATCGCTGTCTGTGTACACACAGTTTACTACCATCACTGTCTGTGTACATACAGTTTACTACCATCACTGTCTTGTGTGTACATACAGTTTACTACCATCACTGTCTGTGTACATACAGTTTACTACCATCACTGTCTGTGTACATACAGTTTACTACCATCACTGTCTTGTGTGTACATACAGTTTACTACCATCACTGTCTGTGTACATACAGTTTACTACCATCACTGTCTTGTGTGTACATACAGTTTACTACCATCACTGTCTGTGTACATACAGTTTACTACCATCACTGTCTTGTGTGTACATACAGTTTACTACCATCACTGTCTGTGTACACACAGTTTACTACCATCACTGTCTGTGTACTCACAGTTTACTACCATCACTGTCTGTGTACACACAGTTTACTACCATCACTGTCTGTGTACATATAGTTTACTACCATCACTGTCTTGTATGTACACAGTTTACTACCATCACTCTCTGTGTGCACACAGTTTACTACCATCACTGCCAGTGTACAAACTCTGTACTAACATCACTGCCAGTGTACACACACTGTACTAACATCACTGCCAGTGTACACATACTGTACTAACATCACTGTCAGTGTAGACATACTGTACTAACATCACTGTCAGTGTACACATACTGTACTAACATCACTGTCAGTGTAGACATACTGTACTAACATCACTGCCAGTGTACACATACTGTACTAACATCACTGCCAGTGTACACATACTGTACTAACACCACCGCCAGTGTACACATACTGTACTAACATTACTGTCAGTGTACACATACTGTACTAACATCACTGCCAGTGTACACATACTGTACTAACATCACTGCCAGTGTACACATAGTGTACTAACACCACTGTCAGTGTACACATACTGTACTAACACCACCGCCAGTGTACACATACTGTACTAACACCACCGCCAGTGTACACATACTGTACTAACACCACCGCCAGTGTACACATACTGTACTAACATCACTGTCAGTGTACGCATACTGTACTAACATCACTGTCAGTGTACACATACTGTACTAACATCACTGTCAGTGTAGACATACTGTACTAACATCACTGCCAGTGTACACATACTGTACTAACATCACTGTCAGTGTACACATACTATACTAACATCACTGTCAGTGTACACATACTGTACTAACATCACTGTCAGTGTAGACATACTGTACTAACATCACCGTCAGTGTACACATACTGTACTAACATCACTGTCAGTGTAGACATACTGTACTAACATCACTGTCAGTGTACACATACTGTACTAACATCACTGTCAGTGTAGACATACTGTACTAACATCACTGCCAGTGTACACATACTGTACTAACATCACTGTCAGTGTAGACATACTGTACTAACATCACTGCCAGTGTACACATACTGTACTAACATCACTGTCAGTGTAGACATACTGTACTAACATCACCGTCAGTGTACACATACTGTACTAACATCACTGTCAGTGTAGACATACTGTACTAACATCACTGCCAGTGTACACATACTGTACTAACATCACTGTCAGTGTACACATACTGTACTAACATCACCGCCAGTGTACACATACTGTACTAACATCACTGTCAGTGTAGACATACTGTACTAACATCACTGTCAGTGTAGACATACTGTACTAACATCACTGTCAGTGTAGACATACTGTACTAACATCACTGTCAGTGTAGACATACTGTACGAACACCACCGCCAGTGTACACATACTGTACTAACATCTCTGCCAGTGTAGACATACTGTACTAACATCACTGTCAGTGTACACATACTGTACGAACACCACCGCCAGTGTACACATACTGTACTAACATCACTGTCAGTGTACACATACTGTACTAACACCACCGCCAGTGTACACACTATTCCTGAAGTGGGTTCTGGGAGTTGTTCTACTCATCAAGCCCGGTCTGGGACCCAGACTTGTGATAACTTGGTCCAACAGGCTGTTGCTGTGAGCGCGGCCCGTCCTCTTGTCACAACGGACAGAAAATGTTGTAAATTTCCCGAACCTAACCGATGGATGCATGCATAGAAAATGTGATGGTAAGCAGCTATGCTTTACAGTACGACATATTTTGTCCGTTGTGGATATTGACGAGAAAGTGTGATTGTATTATTGGAGAGGACCAGCTGTGGAGCGGCCCACATATCCACAACAATCTGGTTGGTCCGCCATTTACAGAAATATGGCTATTTTATCTTTTTATTTTTTTTTTGATTGAAAGAGTGCATTTTTGGTCCGGTCAGTGTACACACTGTGTATAGCATCGCCGTCAGTATACTCATGAACACATACACCCACTCACGATAGAGCTTGTTGGTGTCAATCATGGACTTAACGTGAGACTTGCTAGAATGTTTTATGTATCATTTATACGCTCTGTGATTGACTACAATGCTCTACATCTCACACTGTATACTAACAAAGAGCTGAAATCTCTTGAAACCTTGCAAAATGAAGCTATGCGTCTCATCCTTAGGGTTCCAAAGTCCACGAGAATAGTTAATATGAGAGCAGAGTTAAAATTACCTACCATAAATGAGAGAATTTTGTCTAATAGCACAGTTTTCGGCGTGAAGGCATTGAGTAGATCTAGACAACACATGAAGTTTCAAGCTAAACTTTCTAATATGCTGCACTCACCTGAGGTCTATAGAAGAAGAAGAACGAAATCTGATTATGTATTTTGGTTCTACAAGGTAGGCAACTTTGCCTACCAAAATATTAAATATGTACCCAACTCAATTAATGAATACTCCATGGGATAACCAATTACTCCAAGGGATAACTGGGATCTATCAGTTGATTTTGTAAATGCGCCCAAGAAAGATAATGTGCACTCTACATTATTAAAACAGTTAACACTGAAAAGCATCACTGAAAGTACTCAGAGTATGGGTAACGAAGTGTATCAGTGCTATACCGACGGCTCTGTAGAAGAAGGTGGATGATGTACCGGATGTGCATGTAATATATTTGAACAATCTTCTCTCGTACATACAGTAATGAAGCGCGTTAAGGACTGGGCAAGTACAACTCAAACCAAACTTGCAGGCATATACCTTGCCACTGAATTTCTAAAAGACAA